ACTCCCAGTTCCCTCTTGCATTTCTTTTTCTCTCGCTCTTCGCGAGTTTGATGATTAACATCTAATAAAACATTCATAATAACAATGCCATTAGTAATGATGTTATCAATCACCTTCTAATGACACCATCTCAGTAACATTTACAACTTTATTGGCATGTAATCCTTTTTCTCTTTTAAAATAGAACTAGATTTGGCCGAGAATCGACTAAACCAGTAGCTCTGATACCAATAAATGTAACACCCATATATGTATATACGTTTCTGTGTACATATAAAAGTGTCACATTACTTTAAAAATGTTTTACTAATTTTTTAAAGTCTTAAAATTTTGTTGCAACTTAATAAAGAGTTCGGGTCGTCTAAGGGTGACACGACTCCTACATAATGAGGAGATCTAGTCGGGGGATGACACTGCTCATACATGATGAAAAGTTATTGGCCATCTTTAGGAAGGATGATAACTCGGTTCCTACGTGATGAGGACGACTGGTTATTTGGGTTGACACAGTTCCTACATAATGAGGAAATCTGGTCGGGTGATGACACGGTTCCTACGCGATGAGGACGCATTCCATCTAAGGGTGATAACATGGTTCCTACGTGATAAGGACGATTGGTTATCTGGGTTGACACAACTCCTACATAATGAGGAGATCTGGTCAGTTGATAACACGACTCATACGTGATGAAGAGTTCTGACCACCTAAAGGTGATAACACGGTTCCTACGTGATGAGGACGACTAGTTATCTGGTTGACACAATTCCTACGCTATAAGGACGGTTGGTCAAGGGATGACACAGTTCCTACGTGATGAGGATGACTGGCCATCTTTAGGGATAATGGTTTCAAGAGAAACCAACTCACAGATTATGCTTCAAGGGAAGCTGTCTCAAAAGAGACAAAATTCGTTTCAAGGGAATGACTCAAAGATGGTTATGTTTCAAGAGAAACAGACTCAAAGATTTAATTTGTTTCATGGGAAACGATCTCAAAGATGTTTGTTTTGTTTCAAGGGAAACATACTCAAAGATGGGTGTTTCACAAGAAATTGTCTCAAAAGAGACAAAATTCATTTCAAGGAAAACAATTTCAAAGATGCTTATTATTTTATGAGAAACAATCTCAAGGAAAAATAAGATTTGTTTCAAGAGAAACGATCTCAAAGATGGTTGTTGTTTCCAGTGAAACAGACTCAAAGATAATTTTTATTTCAAGTGAAACAATTTCAGAATTTGGTGATTTAAGGAAAACTGTCTCAAGTGAGACCATTTTTTTCAAAGGAAACATACTCAAAGATTTTTTTCAAAAGAAATTGTCTCAAGGGAGACAAACTTCGTTTAAAGAGAAACGACATTATAGATGGTGTTTAAAGAAACTGACTCAAAGATTATAAAATTTGTTTCAAGTGAAACAAACTCAATTTTTAAAGAAATTGTCTCAAAAGACAAAAATTTGTTTAAGGAGAAACAATTTTAAAGGTGACCAGCTTTGTTTCATATGAAACAAACTCAAAATTTGTATCTCAAAGGAAAAATGTCTCAAGCGAGATGAAATTTGTTTTGAGAAATTGTCTCAAGCGAGACAAAATTTGTTTTTAGAAAAACACCATCAAAGGTGATAGACAGTCTGCTTGTTTCTTCATGTTGAGGAAATATCTTCAATAAATTTAATTGTTGACTTTAGGAAGCCAACTCTATTGATGTCATTATTCTTTCAAGTTGAATCTGGTCATTTCTGAGCTTTTATTTCCTGAAAGATCGAAATAATGCATTTATGACTGACTATCTTAGATGCTATGATGGATGCCAAGATGAAATTTATTTGATGTTTTATTGAATTTTCCTCAAGAGAGGAGAAAAATATCATTGATGAACATGATAATGAATGCAACGATACAAATTTCATGTGTCATGTATATATGTGTATATGTTGATCTGTGAGAGGAATGGTTGTGTGAGGAATCTTCATTCTATCCCTGACTCAATTTGTCTTCATTTCCACCAGGGTGTACTCTTGCAAACCTCGACCTAAGATAATTTATTTTCTTTACCCCATCAGATTTTGCCCCAATGATTTGTCTTCTCTTGCCCCAGCTTCAATCTTGAGCTTCAGAAAAATATTTGTTGAATTCCAAGATATGCTTCCAAATGACTTATCTTGTTTGAAATTTTTTTCTTTGAATTTTCAAAATTTTGAAAAATATCAAAAGAAATTTTGAAAAATGTTGCCTCCTTCTAGATTTCACAATTAAATCAAATCATAAAACAGGAGTTGATTGGATATCAAAAGAATTAACTGCTTTTTTAATCTTTGATAGCTGCAATTCTTTGATAAATATCGAGATCAAAAAGTTGGTTTCGAGGTTGGCTACCTAAATTTTAAGGTTTATTTCCTCGATTTGGTCATTGTAAAGATCATGGCTCGCCCCTTTTTCTTAGTTTGGCATTTTGATTGGAGGCAGACAAAATGACACAACTAGCATAGTTAATTGCAAGACCTTTCAGAACACTTTTTCTTCAGTTATCTGAAATCTTACATTTGTTCAAGCTTCGTAGACTCACCTAGTCAAGGTAGTGCAGAAATATCGGTCTAAAAAATGAAATTTTTGAGTGTTCGTGTAAAGTTAACTATAACAGGTGTTCCTCAACTCCCGTAGTCCATATTCACCGAAACTCCTTATTTAGTAAATTTGACTTAACTTGCCATTATTTGGCTAGTTGAATCTTATCCATAAAGTCAGGGCGTTTAACCAATTGCTCTAGAGGGACAACTCAAGCTTTATTGTAATCACTTTTATCAGGCTAGCTGAAGGATTCATGTCGTCACAAAGTCTTCGATTTGACAATCACAGTGGAGCATACACCGAATTGCCAGGTACCCGATCAATGTCAGGGTTTGAATGTAACCTATTCATAAAGCCAGGGCTTTCGAGTTTCCTCTATAACCAATTACTTTAGCGGAATAGCTCAGCTTTATTGTGTGTGTGTGTGTGTGTGTGTGTATATATATATATATATTTGTATGGGTATACAGATTCCATTTCTTAAGCTCATCGAGGAAAACATGTTATAGTCCATGTGTTTGTTGAAGGTTAGAAAATCTCATCGTTAGAATTCAATTCCCAAGCAACTGACCTAAACTAGATTCACCTACTTTGACCATTCCATCTGAGAAGATCATGATCATCATTGAACGTCATTAACAAAAATATAAACCAATTAGTTTTGCAATTTCATGTGCTAGATGACCCATTTTGTTCACTCCTAACATACCTGAATGCCAAATCCTTGATGGACTCTTCATGTGAAGAGAAAACTAGCTCAGTCCCTGCAAGAGGAGGGTATATATTTGGTATATCTCTGGAGTAGGATCAAGGGAAGGGGTTTTGTTTTGTAGGGATTCAATCTTATCATTTTCAAAGATTTACAACCTCAATTATTAAAAAGCTTTTAATTAAAGTGATATTCAAATAATTTCAAGATTGAAATTTGCTCATTTTTTATTTCCTAAGAATGAATCATTTTATTGAAAATGTTCAAACGTCAAGTGACTTGCAAACATTTAAACATAAGAAGCACAAAAGAAAAAAACAAGTTCAAACAAGATTATATGCATGAGAATACAACAAATACTCCTGATTGATGTCGTAGCAGACTCCAATCAAAATGCCCTATCACACATTGAATGTTAATGCCCCTGAATCGATCAATCTTGAACCTTACGCTTCAATGACCCATAGTTCTCAATGATATGCCCTGAGCTCCCAATATGATAGTTGCATATGGCATTAATATCATGGCCTTCAAGATATGGAACCTCTCTTGGTTTGGATTGAACTGGAGTCACAAGATTCTTCTCAACTAGCGTTGAAAGTAATTCCTCATATGTCATTGGAATTTGATTGATGCGACGACACACCTTATGAGGTTTGGTCCCAATATTAGCTAAGTAAGATCCCACGATGTTAATCTTAGATCTTTCCTCATTGTCAGTATGCCTAGTGCCACTTATCTGGCCATTCTTGACTGCTCTTTCGATCATTTCTCCACACATGACGATGTCAGAGAAACTTTTGGTGGAAGCTCCTATCATGTAGTAGATATATGGAGACTTCAATGTATCGATGAATAGAGTGATGAACTCTCTTTCAGTCATTAGTGGATACATTTGAGATGCAACATCCCTCCATCGTTGAACATATTGTCGAACGCTCTCACCACTCTTCATCTTCATATGTTAAAGCGATGTTCGATCAGGGGTCATATCAGTCATGTGTTTGTATTGATCTAGAAAAACACTAGCCAAATCCTTCCAGGAGCGAACTTGAGTACAACTCAGCTGATTATAGCACTTAGAAACGGGTCCAATCAAACTGTCTTGGAAGCAATGGATCAACATCTGGTCATTTTTTATGTACCTAGTCATCCTTCGAATAAACATCGTGAGATGGACATTAGGGCAACTGGTTCCACTGTATTTTTCAAACTCAGGCATCTTGAATTTGGGTGGAAGCACCAAGTCAGAAACTAAAACTAATTCAGTTACATCCAAGTAGAATTACCCTGATGATTTAACACGGTTGCTTGCATTTCAGTGGAAGAGAAACCTACTGGTGACTTGGAATCTGATGGGTGAAATGAATAGTTGTTGATTAATGGGCCATTATACATTCGGAGGTTCCTATAGTTGAGGAAATATTTTCTTTGCCTCTTTGTTGGTTGAGCCCAACAAATTTTTCTACCATTTCATCTAGGTCTTTTTGGTTTTGCAAGATATACTCCATGGTGGTCTTTTGTGCCTGCTCCATTTTAGATTCCCACTCTTCCAGTTCTTTCTTCAGTTGCTCAAATTTTGCTTCCATTTTCAGTACTGTGTGAATGTAGTTACCGTTGAAAGCACTTCCTCAAAGTTCCCCACGAAATATGATTAATTTATGTAAAAATGCTTAAATGAATGCTATGCAAAATGCAATGATGCAAATGCAGATACAAAAATGTTGATCCCAACGATGGATATCGTAGAATAATTTCACCAGAAATAAAAGCTTTCACATTACAAGACAATCCATTTTGCAGAAATGACTTCACTTAAATGTTGAGCCTGAAGTAGATCACCTCTTCATCTTGGATCTTCGTCTTTGAAAATGATCCCTAAAGTATTCGTAGCCAAAGTTCGTTAATGTTGAAGTGCATTAATCCTTGATGGTTAACGATGAAATGATCATAGATAAGAATCTATTGCTGGATTACTCCTTGGATCAGTGGATCGTCATTTCAGTCTCGAATGTTGCACGATCTCCGAGCTCACTGCTTTGTCTTGGATCTTTGTATTTGGAATTGATGCCCCCCTTAATACTCTGTAAACTAACTCTGTTAATGTCTTGGCGGTGCTGAAGTCAGTACGTCGCTCTTTGATGATTAGTTATGAGATTATCGTAGATAAGAATCTACTGTTGGATTACTTCTTGGATCAAAGGATCAGCTTTCCAATCTCAAATGTTGCACGATCTTAGAACAAGTCTTATTTTCTTATTCTGGACTTCTTAGCCCTTGGCGCATGTCTGTCTACACGACTGCTTGATTGAAATTTTTTTCTCTTCTTGTGCAAAATTTCCACTTGAGTATCCTCTTGTGAATCAACACTTTTGCATTATGTTATGTGATGCAATGCAATGCAAAGAATGATGAAAAATGACACAAACAAAAGAAATAAGTTAGTGTACACAAACAAAAGAAAAGAAATTAGTCAGTACAGGTAAGATAATTGATATCGATAAAAATGTTATTCAAAGATGAATATAACACCTACCCCATCATGGTATCTACCCAAACATGCTTTAATTAAATAACATTCCTACCCGGACATGCTTTCTACCCACAATGATGTATTTACAAGAAATTAATTCTAACCACATGGTATCTAGTTCGCATGTTGTTATTCAAAAAGAACAAATATACTCTACGAACTTAAAGCAAAAAGGTAAGGGTTTAGAAACGCTCATCCTTTGTGTACACTTATTTTGGGTACCTATTGACGGACAGAGGTTTGGCATGTCTATACCTAGGGTGACTCTTCTACGGTTCACTATATGCATGGTTTCGGCTCTATGAGGAAAACGGTACTCGAATTATCCTTGATGTATATGCCCCTTGGGCTGCCAAACTCTCGATCCTCATCTATTACAGGTTTCGAGCGGAACGAGCTCAATTCGAGGGGATACATTCCCTTATGCCTATGCGGAGAATAAATTCCCTCGAAGATATAAGGTATATGAATCCCGAAGGTTACTTGTTAGGCCCATACGGAGAATAAATTTTCACGAATGCATCGTTTTCACCCCCAATTAGAAAGGGTTTATAGCTCAGGTATAGAGCTTATGTTATGCAAATTCCCGTGATGTGTGTGAGAAGGAACATTCAACCCTTTGACTCAAAAGAAAAACAAAACCTCTCGACAAAAACTTGGACAAATCTGAAAGCAAAATTCAAATGCTAATATGACAATAAAAATATTGAAGCAATTAAAAACTCAATAAAAGGATCATAAGTTAACTAAAGACTTGAACTCATAATTTCCATCACAACAACAATGAGTAAGCGACTTACAACCTGACTTTCTAAAAAAAGTCCACAACGGAGTCACTTAGCTGTCATAACCATTTTTTAGGTGGAACAATTATTTATTGTTTTTAAAAAACAGTTACGACTTTAATTTGGAAAATTCGGTGATTTGGAATTGATTTGTATAAAATTGAAAAAGAGTCGCCATCAACCTTTGGGTTAGGTAGGTCGAATACCTAAAAAGTCTTTTAAAAATTTTAAGAAAAAACATTTTTTAAGACAAAAGCTAGTATGTGTTTACCAAAGATTCGATTAAAACAGGTTCGGGAGTCGGTTACGTGTGGGGAAGGATTAGCACCCCCACAGCGCCCAAAATTGGTACTGTGTCGCTTACACGTTGTCGTAATGGTGGAAATCCTGAATCAAATATCAAATTAAAATATGATCCATTTATCGAACTTTGATTAATTTGCTTCAAATTAATTAATTAGAGAAATCCTTTAACTCGATAATAAATCTTGAAAACATGAACTTAAAGGATTAAAATAACATAAACAGAAGTTAAGAGGCTAAAATAGTAAAAACAGAAATTTAAAAGACCAAAATAGCACAAACATGAATTTAAAGGATTAAAATGGAAAAAATAGAAACTTAAAGTCCCAAAACAGTAATTACAGAAACTTAAAGGATCGAAATAGCAAAAAAAGATACTTAAGGGACTAAAATAATAAAAACAACATAATCAAAATAACCAATATTAAAAAGTACATGTACTAAAAATGAAAATATCCCACAAATAATTTAAAGGACTGAAATGAGCTAAACAGAAACATAAAACATTAATTAAATCAAATGCTAAATAGTGACTAAAATACGATATTTACAAATTAAATGCTCAAAACGAAATAAAACATAACTTCATTTAATGGCTGGAAAATAAAGTAACAAAGATAGAGGGATCTATATTGTTAATATACCGTAACCAGAAAACATGCGAAAGGCAAATCACGGTATACTAAGTTGAAAACGTACAAAATATTAATAAATAAATAAAATAAAGTGATATGCTAACATGGGAATTTATTTCATATAAAATAACGTGGGACCATGATATCAATGTTAAATTCAACCAAATTCTTTCATGCAAACTTCTTTACTTCTTATACAAACAGAAAAGTAAAATTTAAGAAGTACCAAGTAAAATTTAAGAAGTACCAAGTGGAATTTTGCTGGATTCAGAACAGTGTTGGATTAGTAAATTGGTTCAATCCATTGCAGACTGCAATATACATAATGCACGAACTCCCAGTGTGCTTTTCTTCTTTATTCGAAAATCCCTCCCGATTACAATTCCCTCTCCTCTTGCCAAATGCTATCCTTTTTTTCTTTTTTTTTCCCCTGGTTCGAATGGTTGCACCCATTTATAGATTTGTGGTTGCTTTTTGTAATGGATTCTCCACTAGAATAATGGTAGGGTAACAATACCTAATTTTGGGATTTTAGTGTCATTTAAAATAGATAGTGGTGGATTTGATTGCTTTTTGAGTGATTTGGTGGATTTTTTAGTGGACTTGTTTGCAGGTGGATGATGATGGCATTGATGGTGACTTAGTGACTCGTCAGTTGGCTCGGCGACAGCTTATGTGGCGGCTCACACACTGGTGAAAAAGGGCAATGGATCACACGTGCCAGCGGGAGTCGAAGAGTCTTCACTGGCGGCTGAATCGGGTCGTTCAGGTTAGTGTTGTAATCTGGGTCGGGTTCCATCTGCTGGGCTTGTAATTTGTAATTGGGCTGCTTGTACTGGGCTTGCAAAATTTGTAATAATATTAAATTAATAATAATAATAAGTATAATATTTTTTTGACCCATACAAAAACGAGTGTCTACAGCTGCCCCTATTTGCACATTCTTGTGTTAACAAGAATAGGGCAAAGACGAAAAAGACAACCAGTTTTTGTACGGTTCTCTTTTTTTGGTTTTGAGATTTGTTGTTTGATTTGGGAGGTGACACTGCTCATACGTGATGAAGAGTTCGGGTCGTCTAAGGGTGACACGACTCCTACATAATGAGGAGATCTAGTTGGGGGATAACATTCCTCATACTTGATGAAGAGTTCTTGGCCATCTTTAGGAAGGGTGATAACTCGATTCCTACGTGATGAGGATAACTGGTTATCTGGGTTGACACAGTTCCTACATAATGAGGAAATCTGGTCGGGTGACACGGTTCCTACGCGATGAGGATGGTAACCATCTAAGGTGATAACACGGTTCCTACGTGATGAGGACGGATGGTTATCTGGGTTGACACAGCTCCTACATAATGAGGAGATCTGGTCAGTTGATGACATGTCTCATACGTGATGAAGAGTTCTGGCCATCTAAAGGTGATAACACGGTTCCTACGTGATGAGGATGGCTAGTTATCTGGTTGACACAGTTCCTACGCGATGAGGATGGCTGGTCAAGGGATGACATGGTTCCTACGCGATGAGGATGGCTGGTCAAGGGATGACATGGTTTCTACGTGATGAGGACGGCTGGCCATCTTTAGGGATAATGGTTTTAAGAGAAACCAACTCACAGATTATGCTTCAAGGGAAGCTATCTCAAAAGAGACAAAATTCGTTTTAAGGGAATGACTTAAAGATGGTTTTGTTTCAAGAGAAACAGACTCAGAGATTTAATTTGTTTCAAGGGAAACAATCTCAAAGATGTTTGTTTTGTTTCAAGGGAAACAAACTCAAAGATGGGTATGTTATAAGAAATTGTCTCAAAATAGACAAAATTCATTTCAAGGAAAACGATTTCAAAGATGATTATTGTTTCATGAGAAACAATCTCAAGGAAAAATAAGATTTGTGGTTGATTTTTTTGTAATGGATTCTCCACTAGAATAATGGTAGGGTACAATACCTAATTTTGGGATTTTAGTGTCATTTAAAATAGATAGTGGCGGATTTGATTTCTTTTTGAGTGATTTGGTGGATTTTTAGCGGACTTGTTTGCAGATGGATGATGATGTCATCGATGGTAACTCAGTGATTTATCGGTCAGCTCGGCGATAGCTTACGCAGCAGCTCACGCACTGGTGAAAAGGGTAATGGATCACACGCGCCAGCGGGAGCCGAAGAGTCTTCGCTGGCGGCTGAATCAGGTCGGTTCGGGTTAGTGTTGTAATCTGGGTCGGGTTCCATCTGCTGAGCTTGTAATTTGTAACTGGGCTGCTTGTACTGGACCTGCAAAATTTGTAATAATATTAGATTAATAATAATAATAATAAGTAATATTTTTTTGACCCAGACAAAAAATGGGTGTCTGCAGTATCGATACCCTCTTCCAGTATCAATACCAAAATTAGCTTCAATGTAATCTGGTATCGATACCCTCACCATGGTATCGATACCACTATGATATGGTATCGATACCCCTCTTAGGTATCGATACCAAAATTAGATTCGATATTTCCTGGTATTGATACTCTTATGGTATCAATACCACATCGCTTGGGTACCAATATTGATTGAATCAGTATCGATACTTCTCATTTAATTTAGCCTAATTCTTGCCTATGGTATCGATACTGTTCTATAGGTACCGATACCCTTGCCCAGATTTTCTAGTTTTCAACACGAAATTTTACCCAACTTTGGCCAATTTTCATCTCATTTACACCTAACAATACTATATAACGCTTCTCTACTTATCCTTACTAACTTTCCTTCATTTACATACTTAAAACATCTAATATTCCTCAAGAGCATTTGATTCTAAGAATCACACCACAATTTCTAATTTGTTATCTCACTCAACCAAAGCTTCTAATCTTTCATTTGCATTATTAACAAGTCAATTTTACCAACAAACATTAATAAACCTTCATATATTAACATATCATTATAAAACCCATTTTCTAAAATCTCTTTTATTTCCCTTATCTCCTTGTTTTAATCCCATCTAAACCTTCATTAAGCTTCCATCATATATAAGGATTCATTAACTAGCAAAACTTGAAGGAATAAACCATTTGATTTAAAACTTACCTTTGAGCTTATGAGATAGCTCTTCTGGAGGGAAAGGAAGAAGAAGAAAGAGAGCTTTTTCCTTTTTCAACCTAATCCCCTTTTCCCTTATTTTAATATCAATTTAAAATACATTTGAATTTTCTTTCATATAAAAGACCAAAATACCCTCATAAAAATCCATAATCACAATTTAGTTTTAAACCAATAATCCTAACCATTATCATCTTTCATTATTAATAATAATCCTAATATTTTAATCATTTCAAAATAGTCCTTATATCAGTATTTGGGGCATTACAGATTATCCCAAATCTGCTTATACAAAGCTTTTGTAGTTGGGGGGACCTCATTAATTGGTAGTAATAATCTATAGTCGTTTCTCACACTAAAATACCCGATTGTTCACCACTCAGACTCAAATATCCTCATGTTTAAACTTCGAGAGGGGAATGTGCAAAATAACCCTAGCTGCAGTTTCTGTAAAAATTGAGTTTATAAGTGGTGCATTTCAATCCATCGTTTCCTCTAGGATAAGTCAGAGACCCAATTAACCGAATCTTCTCGATTTGATTGAACCAGATTGGGGTTTTTAGAAGGGAGCCAAAAGTCATTCCATACTGAGATATAGATTCCAGTTCCAACCCTCCATCTCATTTCTTTCTCTAAAAGTCCCCGGGCACTCCAAATGCTCCTCCAAACATACGACGGGGATGAGTCCAGTTGGGCATTCAAAAATTAGAACCCAGGAAGTATTTCGCCCTTAACAAGCGGTTGATCAGTGATTCAGGGTACATAAGAAGCCTCCAACCCTGTTTGGCAAGGAGAGCTATATGAATTTCCTCATATTTCGAAATCCAAGGCCTCCGGTAGATTTCAATGAGCACAAAACCTCCCACCGACACCATTGAATTCCATAATTATGAGTTGACTTCTTCCACCAGAAATTTGCCATCACACTTTCCATTTTACCACACAAACTACTAGGTAATAGAAAACAATTAATTGCGTAAACATGTATAGCTTGAAGAATAGACTTCAAAACACCTCTTTACATCCCTGATACAACAATTTAGCACTCCACGATTGGATCCGAGATAACAATCTCTCACATATATATGTAAAGGCACAACGTTTGTTACGGCCCACTAGCGCGAGAAGTCCAACATATCTTTTCGAATTTGATGAATTAGAAACATTTAAAATCTTCCGAACATCACCTCTGTTATCAGGAGCAACATTGGAACTGAAAAATAAGCCCTACTTCTCAAAACTAATTTCTTGCCAGAGCTTTTTCCATAGATATCCAATATCGATTTAAGATCCGATGCAGCAAGAGCATCAGCTGCCCCAAACATTAGGCTATCATCACAAACAATAGATGTGTTATAGTCGGGGCATAACGATTAATTCTAACTCCTTTAAATCTTCTCGTGCAACTGGATTGACGTAAAAGTGTGGATAGTCCCTCACTACATATCAAAAATAAATAGGGACTCAGTGGATTGCCTTGGTCGTAAACCACGCTGAAGAATATTTTTTTCTCCAGGGAAACCATTTAACACGACCGAAAATGTTGCCGAACATACACAACGGTGTAACATTTCAATCCAATCAAAAGAAAAACCCATCCTTTCCATAATAGTCCACAAAAATTGCCACTTAACCTGATCATAGGCCTTGCTCATATCCAGTTTAAGAGCGAAATAACCAACCCTTCCTTCTCATTTCCGAGTGAATGAGTGTAACAATTCATATGCCGCTATGACATTGTAGGTTATGAGACGACCAGGAACAAAGGCACTTTGCACCTCATCAATACACAACTGAAGAGTATTTTGCATCCGAAGCACCAACATTTTTTACACTATCTTGTAAAGGACATTACACAAGCTAATAGGTCGGAATTGAGTAACCTGTTTACAAGGAATGCTTACATTATTAATAATTAAAAATGATAATATTAATCACTTCATACTATTAAAAGGTTAACTTTTGATGAGTATTTCAAACCACGATAAAATCTTATACAAAAGATGAATGAATAATTGGTAATAAACTTCATCAATTACAACTCCCTTTTCATTTTCAAGTTGATATTCATATCGCGTTAAGCTAGTCCTTTTTCTTTTTCTATTTGACTTGAACACCAAAAATAGACGATAAATAATTTTTTTTATTCCGTATGTTTTTTATTACTTCAATATTAAGTAAGAAGGGTAAAGTATATGAATATTCAATTCTATAAAATTCTCAATTTCCCATCCATTTCTTCATCTCACTTATTAATTCATTTAATTTCTAATTAAATCTAAGCACATTTTTATATTTTTTTTCAAATAAATTCTTT